AATGCTTCGAGGGTTTAGGGTTTATTGGGGTTTATCAGGGTTTATTAGGGTTTATTAGGGTTTATGAGGGTTTATTAAGGTTTATTAGGGTTGATTAGGGTTTATTAGGGTTTATTAGGGTTTATGAGGGTGTATTAGGGTTTATGAGGGTTTAGGGCTTATTAGGGTTTACGAGGGTTTATGAGGGTTTATGAGGGTTGATGAGGGTTTATGAGGGTTTAGGGTTTAGGGTTTAGGGTTTGTGTATCAGGCGTTCGCGTACATATCGTTTCAGCGAAGAAGAAATTCAGTTTTTTGTTTTTAATTTAATTGCGGGGAGGTTTCCGGTTTCTGAGGCAGGGCGGCTCGATGCTCTCGTTAATATACTCAAAATAGGTAAACCCTAAACCCTAAACCCTAAACCCTAAACCCTAGATGCTGGGAGAGGAGGGTTTAGAGGACACACACACACACGCTAAACCCTAAACCCTAGTCCAGCGATGGTAGAGGGTTAGGGGAAGATACAAACCACTTACACCCAGATTCTCCTAAACCCTAAACCCTAAACCCTAAACCCTTTTTTTTTTTTTTGTGGTTTCAGATAGATGGAGGCCTTTGGTATGGGAAACCCCAAATTTGCCGGACTTGTGAGCCTAAACCCTAAACCCTAAACCCTAAACCCTAAACCCTAAACCCTAAACCCTAGATTTTAGCGAATACTGAATGTATTTCGACCATTCTAATGGCTATTCCTGTAGTGTGTGATAATACACCAACTAGGGTTTAGGGTTTAGGGTTTAGGGTTTAGGGTTTGTGTGTCAGGTTGCTGCGGAACTTATCTCTGATGCAACCCCCCAGCGTGGTTTATAAAGCGGTGTTTTGTGTTTGGCTTCTTTCTTTTCATTTATCTTTCCCCGAAAAACTAACAGAGGCGGGGATACTCAAGGCCACGTGTGAGGTCCTCAAAGAATCCAGAGTAGAAAAGGTGAGGGTTTAGGGTTTAGGGTTTAGGGTTTAGGGTTTAGGGTTAGGGGGAGGGAGGGAGGGAGGGTTTAGGGGCTAGGGAGGGAGGGTTTAGGGTTTAGAAAGGGTTTAGGGGTTTCTTCGAGGGTTTAGGGTTTAGGGTTTACTTTGAGGGTTTAGGGTTTAGCGCATTGGGAATGCCGACTAGTTAGGAATTAGGGTTTACGGTTAGGGTTTAGGGTTTACGTTGTCCGGGATACCTAGGGTTTAGGGTTTAGGGTTTAGCGGTTGCATGCAGATCGTACGCGTGGGGCTGCACGTCATTGAGAATTTTCTTTCTTGTGAGGATGCAGTGGAAATTATAATTGAAGAAAACGTCGCACAGGTTAGGGTTTAGGGTTTAGGGTTTAGGGTTTAGGGTTTAGCATGTGGGGTATACTGCTGGCTGCTCTTGCGAATCTCCTTGAAAAGGAGGAATAAAAAGTACAAATATTTCCAAATAAGGGTTTAGGGCCTAGGGTTTAGGGTTTAGGGTTTAGGGTTTAGGGTTTAGGGTTTGTGCAGATTCTGACATTACTGGAGTTTGAGAAGTGGAGAGACCCAGATTTATATGAAGAAATTCGCGCATGCATTTTTTCTTTAGATGTAAAAATTCGTCAATTTAATAATTTCGAAAGATATTTACTTGAATTAGAAAAAGGAAAACTACGATGGTCTGTGCTGCACTCCGGTATGTCAAGGGTTTAGGGTTTAGGGTTTAGGGTTTAGGGTTTAGGGTTTAGGGGGGTTGGTGTATTTTTTTTAAACGCGGGAGAGAAACACTTTGTTTAGTGAAGAGAAGCAACACGTGGATATTACAGAAAAAAAAAAAAAAAAAAAAAAAA